TTGCAGCATTACCTCTGATCAGAGCTCCCAATTCAATTCAAAGGAGACCTGAGATTGGGCCCACAACCATCACATCAGATGAGTTTTCTACTTCCCATATAATCCTCAGACATAAAGTATTATCAAATGCTTGCCTGAATTCCTGAAATGAATTTCATCCATCATTCATCTGACAACTAGAGATGGGAGTCCCTCTTCCTAAACCAATGCCCATGATAAATTCTTGCTGCCTAAGAAGGGGAAGGGATCTCAGGTTCAGCAGTTTCTTCAATTCAACCTTCAAGAAAACTTTCTTGATAAGGAGGGACATTTTTAGACAATGTCCTAGTTGCCCTTCTCTGGACCTTCCTTATGCCATCCCCTAAATGAAAATGGCTCAAGTGACTCACAAGTGCCAGGTTTTCTTTGTCCTAGGATTATTCAAACAACTCCTTCCCAGAAAGGGCATGGAGGACTAAGGAGTGATAATATTAGTAGTTGCCTTGATTTCTAATGAGATGGAGGAAGTGAAACTCTCTCTGCATGACTATGGTGAATGTGACTTTACCAGAAAGAAAAGAGATTCTTTAGCTAACTTGATTACGTTCCTAATTCCCTAGCTGAAGGGAAGGGAAAAGTTTTATCCACCCACCAAGTACCTCAGCAGAAGTCTAAAAAAGAGTGAAGATTTGGTATCACCCTGGTATTCCCTGGGTTTTGGCTACTGAATAAGACAAGTTTTTGGTTACAGCACCCCCTGTTTTGTCCCAAAGTAAATCAGTTGAAATCTCATTGCATTCTTGTTGCTTTATTATGGCAACAAGACTAAATCAGAGTAAAAGTCTTAAGAAGGAAGGAATCAGGCCCAATGTTTATACTTGAGAAACAGTTTCCTACTACGGCAAGATAGATTTATTTGATATCCTGTAGCTATGTAGCATCCCAGTGAGGAAGAATCTCATGGACAGTTCTGGTGATGACTGTAGGGACTCATCTCAGAACTTTACCAGTCTTAGTAAAAGCCAGTAACAGTAAATCAAACTTACAAACTCAAAGGTTTGCAAAGCATTTTCCCTTCAACAATTCTGTAAGGGAAACAATGCAAATATTATTATACCCATTTTATAAAACAATAATCTAAGGATCATAAAGGTTCTCCAAAGTCACACATATGTGTTTCATGCCATGTCTTTTGACTCCAAGTCCTATACTAGGCATGGAGAACCTCAAGGCCTCAAGGTCATATGTGGCCTTCTCAGTGCTCAAGTGCAGCCCTTCAACTGAATCAAAAATCCCCTTAATAAAAGGATTTGTTCTATAAAACTTGGACTTAGTCTAAAGGCTGCACCTAAGAACCTCGAAGGCCACATGTGGCCTCAAGGCTGCAGGTTCCCCACCCCTGACTTATACTCTTCCCACTATAGTAAACTTCTTCTGTCTCCAAATGTGCTTCTGGAGTAATTTCCTACCAAAGAAGGTGTACCTTTCCAACTCTGTGGAAACCTCAATGGATTCACTCTGGGCTTGAACCTGAACTAGGTATCTAGAGTGTGAGAATAAGACCAAACAAGTGTTCTTTACCTTCTAATGACTCCTTCACTATTGAACTGCCACTCATATTGCTTCTGTCTTGTTTCTGAACTGTTTCCTTTGGAGCAAATTAAATCAACAAGTAAAATCACAAGAAGACTAGTCAGTAGACTATTGTGACAAACAATTCCCAGTTCTCTTAACTCAATCCTTGGTCTAGAGCGACACATCACAAGTGTTGAAAAAAATATATTAATACTACAATCTATGCTATAGGTAGGTACAAGTCTGACAGAAATTTTTTAAAAATTAATTTATCATGATTTTAAATCCAAGCATTTCTAGCTTAGACAAAGAAATGTCCGAACTGACATAGTCTCCACACCACCCCCAAGCACTTGGACAACTCTCTTCTAAGACAAATTGAGATAGCATTTATCTGAATCTTGAACAAGGAAAAGGTTAAAATATAGTTTGGGGTTTAGCATTCCAAAAAAAAAAATAGCCACTTAATCTTTAACTAGAACTACTCAATTCCCTTCTTGTCCACTGAGCTGAAAGATTGATTTTTTTCCTCCCTATGATCAATATCTTAATTTCTTGTGAATGGAGAAGAGGGAATCATAGTGCCATCTCTTCAGGGGATAGAGAAGACAATGATCTTAACTAGGCCAGAGATATTTCATTTTCTACCTAAGCCTTTGTCCTTAACCTCATAAAGGAAAAAGTTTGAAAAAGATGTTAGAATGGGGGGAAAAAGAATTTTAATATTTTCAGTTGAACTGAAAAAGTTTTTTAATATGCTCCCACATAAGTAATAGTTTTTCCAGCTCATTCACAGAGATTTGAGAACTCTAAGAGTCAGAGAAGATTTATGGGACAGGTTTCCATTTCTATTGTGGATTTGGCTTGCTACTGAACTAGTACACCACTGAGAATACCTACCTTAATAAAATTTTAAGCTAAGAGGAAGTATCACAGTAATATAATGGAATGATCACAGAACTGGGAGCCAGAAAAAATGGTTCAAGTCCTGGTTCACTTAACTTGATGACCCTGGGCAAGTCATTAACTTCTCTCAACCTTTTTTTCCTCTTGCTAAAATGTGAGTCATAATATTTCTGAGGAAAACACTTTGTCTTACTTAAAATTCTTTATAAATATGAGTTGCATTGCTGTTATTATTGTGACAATTCTACCACTATTCAGTCCTTTTAAATGCTTTATTGAAGTTCTTTTCTTTTTCTACATCACTTTGATTTCCTTATGACTCTGCCTTCCTCCAAGGAACCCATCCTTCATAACAAATTAGTACAGTAAAACAAAACAAATCAACAAATTGAATGGATGAAAACATGTACCTCATTCTGCACCTATTGCTCACCTCCTTTCTACCTAAATGCAGGAAACATGCTTCACTATCAAGTCCTCTGAGGTCATGATTGATGGCTATCATAGTCATTTTGTCAATTGTTCTCTTGGTTCTGCTTACTTTGCCTTGGATCAGTTCATATTAGTCTCTCCAGATTTCCACATGGTTGAATAAGACCTTTACCCCAGACAAAACTGGAAAGAGAGAGAATGCCTGTACCTCAGGCAGGGATATTGAAAGCCACAGCCAATTCTGGCTATGCAGCTAATGGAAAGAGACTATTCTCACCCATATGATAGGGGGCAGAAGACATTCTTCATACATCTCCTACACAGGTGCCTCCATCTCAGGTGAGCTGAGCATGCTCAAAAGTTGGTTACACTTCCATCAATTCCCTATGTATCTTGGGTGTCAAACTTTTATTGGAGATATTTGCTAAAAGTTTTAGTCAATTAACTAGTTCTCATTTCTTTCCAATTTCAATGATTTTGTTCATGCAAAAGCTTTTTAATTTTATGCAACTGAAATCATCCATTTTGTCTGGTTTGATCACCTCTATCCCTTTTTTAGCTAAGAATCCCCTCTCTAGACATGGTTATGTAAGGTAACTTCTACTCTCCATTACTTTTAATGATATACCACCATTAAAATCTCATGAATACAGACACAATAGAGTCTTCTTTTAGTGGAAATCACTGGGTTCCCTTCCCTGGGTTTAAATTTTAATGAATATGTGATATATTTAATATGATGACACCCCTCTTTTATTTTTTTGTATCTCGCTTATACAGGGGATCTGGGGCTATAGCATCCAATATACAGAACCTCTTTGCAAATAAAAGCATGGGTTTTTTTTTTGCACAATTGCCTATTTCCCCCAGCATTTTATAACATTCTTAGTAAATAATTTAAAATTTCATGAGTAACTACATCAACAACTTGAAGCTATTTTCTGCGAAGAAACATACCACCAAGCCCCACTTAAACTAGTTTCAGCTTAAAATTTAGTAGGAAGTTGAAAGTACATTTGACATCATCAGATGTATGTATGGCAGGAAACCTAATTGTTTACAACTCCTTTTAAAGTAGATCTGTTTACTGTCAAACCTCTATAAAAATTTGGCAATGCACCTTGTACTCACAAGTATCGACTTGCACTCTGGAGTAACACTTTGTGAGTGTAATTAGCTTGAGCTTGAAATGACATGACCTTGTTTTTAGTGAAATATATTATAAATTAAGATTAAATGCAAAAAATACACTGAATTAAAAATTATTCAGAAGACAGAAAGAATCTGTATTTGGAGGAGTTCTGTAATGAGAGAATACCTTATTAAGTGAAAAAGGGTATTTCCTGATAGTGTTTTCACTTTAGCAATAAGATAACTTGCCAAGGACTTATGATATGATTCCTAGCAATAAAGTTCATTATAGCTTATATGTGATAAATTACTACAGAAAGACAGACACAATGGCAATATCTCAGAAAAATCACAAAACTTTCTAATAGAAAGGGATCCTAAGATTATCTGATCCAACTCATTTTACAAATGAAGAAACTGAAGAGGTTCAATGACCTCCCAAGGCAAAGACAGGAAGTAGTAGCGGTGAGCCCAGAACCAAGTCTTCTGTGTCTTAATCAGTGCCTTTTTCTATTATCTTATGCTGCCTCTGCCTAAGTGCAATTTCTGAGTAGAATTCTCCCCTTTCACAGAACATGTTTTATTGCCATGGGATGATTTTAACTTATATTTTGAGGTCAGAAGAATTACCCTGAGGGAATTACTAGGAGAATTAGTTTGTTCCCTGAATAAGTTATGTCAGATATGAAATCATCCATTGACAGATAGAATCCTTCTCATGCATAATTCAACTTGGAGTTCAGTAATTGATCACAACTTTCATATGAAAGCTACTGTGACAGGTCCCAGGGGACTGCCCAATTATTGTTGTTTTTTGTATATGCTTTGTATTTACTTATCTATGATAAGTAAGTTTTTAAAACATTATTTTTTTAAAAAATTATTATTATTATTCACTTCTCTAGGATCCTGGGGTGATAGATATAGAGCTGAAAGGGACCTCGGAAGCCATCTATTGTTACTTTCTTATTTTACAGGTGATGAAACTCAATCCCAGAGAGGAGAAATTTGCCCAAGATCAAATAAATAGTTAACATCAGAAGCAGGATTTGAAGCCAAATCCTCTGACTCCAGAGCAGGTGCTCTTTCTCCCAAGAAATATGTAAGCTCCTTGTAAGTTTTTTTTTTTGTCTTTGTAGCTGTAATTCCTAGTGAAGTGCACAAAATATAGTGGGCAATCAGTGTTTGTTAGATTTAATTAAATTCTTGAGGATGGTGTAAAAAGAGTGAGTCTATGACGGTAGTGGGGATAATGGTTAGATTCTAGGATCATTTGAAATGTCATCATGGGGACAGTTTCAAGAAGTAATGACTCACGTACTTCCCACATGAAGTAATTCTACCTATTAGATTTAACTAGGTATATTATCAACATATTTTATTGATTAACTGAAATGTGCAGAACAATGTTAGGTGCTTGGAATATTACACAGAAATATAAAATACATTCTCTTTTCTTAAGAATCTTACTGTCCAGTAGAAGACAATTATATATACATAAAAAGACAAAAAATAAAAATTCCATTGTATCAAATGAGTGGTCTTGGTGCTATAGGTACTGAGTTCAAAAAAGGGAAATATCTTCTTTTTTATTGAACTTGACAAATATCAACATATATTTCCATATACAAAGAGCAGAAAAAGACTATATGTCAAAACATATATCTTAATTATGTTGTTGTTGTCATTGTTGGGTTGTTTTTCAGTCATGTCCAACTTTTCCTGACACTATTTGGGGTTTTCTTGGCAGATACTGGAGTGGTCTGCCATTTCCTCCTCCAGCTCATTTTACAGATGAGGAAACTGAGGCAGAGATTTAAGTGACTTGCCCAGAATCACATAGCCAGTAAGTGTCTGAGGCCAGATCTGAACTCAGGAAGATGAATCTTCCTGACTCCAGGCCCAGCACTTTATCTACTATGCAACGTAGCTGCCCTGCTTCATTATGTACAGCTTTTTTTGTTTGTTTGTTTTTTCTTTTTTTTTATGTACAGCTTTTAAAAATTAAATTTAATGGGGTAAAATCACCAACACTGCCTTGCTTTTATCTATTTCCCCTTCTGAATGTCCTTCTATTATTTTCTGCATATTTTTAAATGTTTCATTGACACTTTTCTTTCTTTTCCTTTTTTTTTTGTGTTGCAACAATATGACTACACTACAACACCAACTACTATTAGCACTACATCAACTCTCCCCACCACCACCACCACCACCAATGGTGATATCTTTTCAAACTTGATTTTGGACGCTTCTAGGGAGATAAATTGAAATATTTCCCGTTTGAGCCATGAGACAGGAAGAACAGAAGACAGGATTGAGCAATGCATCCATTATAGATACCTAATGTTCCCTGTCCTCTATCTCTAACACTTTTTAAGTTACTATTTTAGTATGGATTGAGGGGTCCTAGAGAGATCTCTGAGAAATGCATGTATCAAACCAATATCCTGTTCTTTATCATTTTTTCTTTTTAAGGGAGCAGACCCCCAACTCATCTGAGTTCAATCTTTTTTCAGTCCAGCAAAGTAAGAAGTTGATTCCACCTTTACAGTTGACACCTTGAGCTACTAGCTTCTTTCCATCCAAATTATCCTAATTGTCCACTATCTTTTCATTGCTATAACTTTATTCCCCATTAAGAAAATGAAAATTAGGTACTAATCCTTGTTTTTGTGATTAATACTAATGTAAGCAGAGATTTGCAAATAAGTTTTCGTTCTTTTAAAGAGATAAAAGCCCAGCTTCATCATGAGTTGAAGTAATGGAAAAGTAATGAACATTGATCCTGTTTAGAAGTCTCAAAAGAAAGGCAACCGTATATCATATCCCTGGGAAAATGCAAATTTGTCAAAGAAAGCAGAACCTATACTCAGAGAGCCAAAATGCATATACCCGTAGACCTAACATAGATAAGCACTTGATGTAAATTAAAACCCAGATGTACTCATTTTCCATGGAATAATTCTAGTATAAATACATTCAGGTGCTCCTCTCTGGGCAGCTAGGTGACCCAATAGATAGAGTCAAGGCCTGGAGTCAAGAAGACTCATCTTCCTGACCTCAGATCTGACCTCACACACTTCCTAGTTATGTGACCCTAGGCAAGTCACTTAACCCTCTTTGCCTCAGTTTCCTCATCTGTAAATGAGCTGGAGAAGGAAGTGGCAAACCACTCCAGTATCCTTGCCGAGAAAACCCCAAATGAGTTCATGAAGAGTTAGACATAACTAAAAATGGCAACATCACAGATTAAAATTGTGCAGAGAAAATCTTCCAAACTGGGATAGGAAACTATGACGAATGAAATTCTAAAGATACAAATGAAAATAATTCCATTAAGTTGGGAAAAGTTGTCTGAAGAGACTGACATGAATTCATAGGAAACTCACCAAGCAATTTAGATTTTAAAAAGCTATGTACATAAGATTTAAGTAAGGGCAGAAAAGAGAGGATTACTAAATGGCCATTATAGAGTCCTGAGAAAATAGTGCCAGAAAAAATTAATGCCATTAGAATTAGAAGGGAAACAGCTAATTAGGGGGAACAAATTTTCTCTGGAACAAGTTTCTCTGATACACTCTGATATCCACAACAGATAGAGAACTTACACAAATGTAGATAAACAAGAGCAATTGTCCAATAGATAAGTTGTCAAAGAATATAAACAGTCAAATTTCAAATTAAGGAATGTAGGATATCAGAAGTCATATGAAAAAGTGTTTCACATCACTAATTATAAAGGAAATCTAAATTAAAGCTACTCTGCAGTTCTACCTCATACCCTTAAAGATTGATAAATATGACAAAAGGTAGAAATTATAATTATTGGAAGGGCTTTGAACTTTGGGGGTACAGGTACATTAATACACTATTGGTGGAACTCTGAATCATCCCAACTATTCTTGAAATTTGTAACTATATCCAAAGGTCAGTAACATGTACATACCCTTCAGTCCTGCAATTTCACTATTATATGTATACCTGCTCCCCCCTCCAAAAAAAATTCAAGATGGAAGGAAAGGACTCACATATACAAAAATATTTATAGTAATACTTTCTGTTATAGAGTGCCTATCAATTGAAGAATGGCTTAATAAATTCAGATATGTAAATGGAATGGAATGGTAATTATGAAGGATTCAGTGAAAGTTGGAAAGATTTTCATAGAATGATGAAGAGTGAAGTGAGTATAACTGGAACTGTTTTCATATTGATTACAATTATGTAAAAAAAAAAAAACTTTGAAAGACTTCAGAACATTGATACATGCAGTGACCAATTGTAATTTAAGAAGACTGATAAAGAAGCATGCCTCCTGCCCCTCATCAGAGAGGTGATAGGTTATAGGTAAAAGATGAGACATATATTTTCAGATACAACTGAAAGGTTGATTGTTTTACTTGAATATATTTATCTATTTGGGGAGTATATGGAAGAGTTAGTGGGTAATGACAAAAATGTTTTTAAAAAAAGCATCAGCAAAATATTTATAATTCACAAAAGAAAAAAGAATACTCAGAAGAGTACAAAAATAAATGACAATTTTTTTCAAGTTTTATGTATACTTTTTCAAGTTTTATGTATACTTTTTATATGTTATAACATAACAGAACAGATTCATAAATACTCCATCTTTTTGTTTTTCTTTGTTTATTGAAATGTTTGTGTTTGCTGATTATGGTTAACTTCATAGCAAAGGAAAAAAAAGAAAAGTACTAACTAAAGTGTGGGACAAGTTAAAGTTGGTAATGAAAATAAAGTCATAAAAAGGTGGGAGAGGGAGAGTTGGGGAGGAAGGGAAGCATAGTCATATTGGGAGAAAGAAGAATATTTGAGGTGGATGTGATAACTGACAAGAAAGAAAAGGTAGGATTATTCACTTCTGATTTTGTTTCTTTATAAGGATAGGACATAAATGTGCAGTTTCTGGCATATTCTGAAGTGTATAACTTTTCTGATTTTTCTTCGCTTTGTTACATGGATAAATATCTATTTGCTATTTGTTATTTGTGATGGTTTTTTGTGTGACTAGCATTTGGTGAGAAGAATTCAGACTGGGTGAGTATGAGCTAAGGACTAGTGACAAGGAAAGTGGCTTTTTTTCTGAACCAAAATTGTGCCTTTAGTCTAACAACATTGACAAGGGGAAGGGATAGGGGGAGAGAAGCAGATAGAATTCTAGTCCGTTATCTGTCTCAGAGCCTGAAGTATAAGACAGCCAGCTCATGGCCCTTCTCCTGTTCCCCTGAAGGTGATAATCACAGTTTCTTTTACAGAAGGGTGGGTACTAGTCCAGAGATATTTATAATTCCTCCTATAGGCAGAATTTAGTCAACCCATGAAGCAATACGTATCTTACATGGGAATACATCATACAAACACAAAATACTGTTCAAGATACTGTGGCAGATACAAAAATGTATAAGACATGATACTTAGCCTCAAAAACTTTACAAGCCAATACAGAAAATAATAGAATTTGAAAGCTGACAGGGGCCTTAAGAGTCATTTCCCATTTTAGTAAGAGAAAACAGCCCCAGGAAGGCAAATGTCTCACCCACTTTGGGTACATTTCCATGCCATAATATCAGCGATTCAGAATCTTCCCACCAGAATTTGAAGACACTCCTAAGACTCAGCTTTTATTTGTGAGTTTTTAGCTTATGTTGACCAGATCTCATCTCATCGTGTCACTTCCTGGCCATTTCCATGCCATGTCTGTGAGGGACTGTCTGATGTTGGCTACTGCCAAGTGAGGATTGTGGCAAGATGGGGCAGGAACAAGATATTAGGAAGTAACCGGAGCTCACACTCCCGAGGCAGGGGCTGTGCTAGGCGGAGTTGTGGTGAACTGGGATGGGAACTGGATACGGAGAAGTAACCGGAGCTCATGCTCCTGAGGCAGTGGGCAGTGCTATGTGGAGCTGTGATAAGCTGGAGAAGGAACAGGATACAAGGAAGTAGCCGGAGCACGTGCTCCTGAGGCAGGGGCTGTGCCACGTGGGAGTGG